ATGGGCTGTAAAAACGGTGTCAGCGGCGTCAGTAGTAGCAGCAGCAGCCGCCGCACTCGAAAGGAAAACAGCAAAGGTGAGTAGGTTGTTCATATTTATAGAATGTACTTTTTTTTTATCCAAATACTGTACATCTCTGCTGTGTTTATATAACTGAAGACACGTCCATTTACTCCTCAGTGCTGTCCAGCGTGTTCAAAATGGAAGAAAATCACAACGTCTTGCTTCCCGAATTGAAAGAGATGGAAAACAAGGTCGGGATGAAAACACCCGAGATCCTCCTGAGCTGGATGGGTGGAGAAGACGCCAACTTTGAAGATGTGAACGACTGGAGATGCCATACGTCCGACTTCAGTGGAGACTTTTCGGACAGAATCAGCAGTTTAAAACACGAACTGGTAAATATTTTTGACTTATTAAACATTAATAATAAAAAATACTACTTTTTTTTAGGTAGTGTGTTTTTAGGAGAAATTAAACATGACTACATATTTCTGCCTTGACGTCTGGATAAACAAGCCAATTTTGTTTTTACTTTCAGCTAGCTTTTCACTTAGCAGCTGTTCTCACATTATCACATTTTAATATAAAACACTGTAGCATACAGTACAAGTAACACAAAATTGTATTGTGACTAATTTTTAAGGACAAGTATAAATTATTTAAGGAATATTTTGTTTCTGTTTCCTGTTATTGGTCAGCCAGGTACTGCCTTTAGGAAACCTGCTTTTAACAAGTAAACTAGTTGTGTGTAAATAGCTAGTCATCTTCTCCCAAGGCACTTGTCTGCTGATAAGCCCGCGATAAACATCTGAACGTTGGCGCTTGTCTTATTTTGACAATGACAGAAGTTGCCCAGCTTGTTTTAGTCATCGCTGCTACGTTTGTTGAAAGAGGTCAAGGCGTTTTATTGCATTCTACTCTATGTGCTCATTTCACTTGTTAATGACAGACCCTGTTTCCCTGTTTGTGTCTGGTGTCATTTGGTAATCGCAAATTGGGTATGTGCAAAGAATTAGATATTTGTCGACTCATATTTAGCTATTTTTGTTTTGGTTTTTTTCTAAGCCAATCAGAGCTAACAGCAGTCACATCATTTAGTTGGTCTATATCAGGGATGTCAAACATGCGGCCCGTGGGCCAAAACTGGCCCGCTAGTGTATTCATTTTGGCCCATTAGACGGATTTAAAAGTGAAAAAAAATGCACAAACACTTCATGCTCATGACTTTTTGTCGAATTACATTTAGTAAAATATGAATATTTGGTCCATGTTATTATTTCCCAAAGATTGGATCGCGACCCCATTTCTGTCAGATCACTTAAGTTGTACATGAACAAACGTACTCATACATTAAAAGAACCTCACCGCCCTCACTGTCCCTTTTAGAGGTTGCTGCGTTCTGCTGATGTGAAGATCCTGCGACAGTTGGTGGCGGTGCACGAGGGTATCGAGGCCCTACGATGGCTGATCGAGGAGCAAGGGGCCACGGTCAGTCTAGGGAGCAGCTTATCAGGCAGCCTGAGCAGCCTCGTCACAGTGGTGGAACAAGCATCCACAGGGAGCACCCTCGGGTACTGCACTAAGGCGAAATTGTGTGATTCACTTTTGTAGGAAATGTGCAAAAGTGCATGCTATAAAATATTAACAAAATCCCACGTTGCCTTTTACAGGTCAGGCTCGAGTCCAACTTTCCCTAAATATTTGACAGAAACACCGGGCGAGGATTCAGCAGGTCAACTGTCAGCGAAATTTGACTATCATGATTACGCTACGGATATGCCCAGTCCCAGTTTTCAGATGTCTCAGCCCCAGAACGCTGATCCGCTGTTGCCAAGAGACGTCAACACCACAGCTGGTACCATCACAAGAGCTCTGCTCAGATCAAGGAAGTCGAGAAAAGAAAAAAAAGACACCAGTGTCACGCACACTAATTCTACAGACTCTCCAAATAATTACAAAACAAAAGAGGAGGAAAGAATACCAAACAGAGAGGACGCGCTGCTGGTGTACGACACCCAGTGGTGCTGGATGGAATCAAAAGATGATGTGACATATTTATGATTTTTTTTTAAATTATTTTATGTTCCCTTTTATATTCATATTCAAAATGTGCATGACTTCTTTCATTTCTTTCAACGCATACAAGCCCCTCGCATACAGTATACTGTATACAAATATGTAAATGAAGAACAATTGGGGTAAATTTTGTATACAACATAAGTCGTATTAAAACGTGTTTTATGCGGGGGAAAATGGCGCAATTATTTTTTTTAAATAAATGCGTCAATGTTGTCGTATTGAATCGAAAAAAAATAGAAAATATCTTTTGCATAATGTCCATGTTAACCTACACCAGTGTTAGAATGACGTCTTTTCCTACGGGCTCTGAACGTTTCACGCGACGTACGTCTTGCGTCATTTACCTGCACAGTAAATAGGAAGTGGTTTCAAACGACTCTCCCCCTTTGCTAATAGTACGGTGAGAACCGAGGAGGATAAAAGGTCGATGTAATGTTCCAGGCGACTAAAAAAGAACCATGGAGACGTTTTTTCTACACTGTCTCCTTCTTGTCGTCGTCACGTCCCCGACATTAGCAGACGGTGAGTGTAATTTAATTTCTACGACAGGAGAAATCACAGGCAAGGCTAGCAGCTTAGCTTATCGGCTAAATTTGATAGCACTTTGCCTTGAAGCTACAATAGGAATATACCACAGTCTGTTCTACTGTTTCTTGTTTCTAACAAATGTGTTTTGAAATTGTAGTTTATGTCTGTCAAGCTGTTAAATAAGAGAGCCGGTTTCTGTTTTTTTTTTGTTTGTTTTTTTCAACGAGTGATTGCTTAATTGCCCAATTACACAAATGTGAAGTTGGACTTTAAAATGGCGTTTTACTGACCTGTAAAATGAAAGAAAAAAATGTTGTTCAATACAGATAAAGAGGTCACATTTGTGTCGGAGCTTTCTACCAAACCTGCTCAGAAGCTGTCAAAGTACAGTTGGTACGGCAACGTGAGGCTGCAGAGGTTTCATATACCAGAGGAGACAGCCATCGCCCGCTGGCTCTTCTCTGTCAACAAAGTCAGTACCTTCCCGTGTGGAACCAACAACGTCACCATGTAAGAGACAGTTTTTGCTTTATTTCCTTCAATTGTCATGCCCTCTGTTTAGTTTTTTATGTCATGTTTCGTTTGTTTGTTTTTTTCTCTCTCATTTGCAGCTACCTTCGATGGGGTGCTCCACCAGTTGTAAGTCTGAAAGGTTCCATTTTCCCTAATTCGACACTGTGGAGCCCCAGCCTGTCCCTGACCCTTCCGGTAGCTTCCCAGAACTCCACTACTGTAAATCTCACGTACCCTTCGGCTGGCGACTGGTACGTTGCAGCACACCTGCCTGAAGATGACGGTCGGATAGAACAGAAGGTGTGTAACCCTCTTTCAGAAAACACTTCGCACATCAGATTAAATAGTTTGAAAACGTCCAAAATGTCAAGCATTCCATTTGAAAATTCCTATCAAAAAACATGCTTATTATTTATGATTATTATGATTTTTTTTCTTGTATGATTTTCACACAATATTATCATAATATATATTTAAGAAGTGATAAGATTTTTTTTCACTTGTTTACATTTGCTCTCTGCTTTTTATGTTTATATTGTTGTGATTTTTTTTTTTCTAAATTGAAATATTGTTTTAAAGTATGTGTATTTATCACAAACACACACGCTTCTTTTGAGGCCCTACAGTGAAACAATCAGTGGTTTGCTGGTTCAATTCCTAGTCTTCCTGTATGGAGTTAGTATGTTTTTACTTGGATACTCTGCTTTTGTCAAGAGTAAAAAAAAAAAAAAATAAAGGAAGTATTTGCAGATGCCATGCTAATTTTAAATTAAATCTAAAAATTTGACTAAATCAGTAACATATAGAGTATGTATTTCATTATATTGTGCCATACGGCCTGTGATGTGCTGGTAAACTGTCCTGAGGTTAATTGCTAGAAGATGAATGAAAGAATATTCTTCTGTTTTTCTGATGTGCATTGGAAGTCCTTATTTATTACTTGAGCTGGTCTATAACTTTCTTTTACTTATTTCAATGTTGTGTTTTTTGACAACAACAGGCTTTAGTTATGAGTCGCGTTTGTGTGTTGATGGGAATTTAGTCTGTGACTTTGACCGGTTCAACCACATTCTGAAGTAAGTGGGCAGTTGTCTTGTTATGTAAAGTAGCTCTGCAACATTCTTTCCTAACAACAGAGTCATTATGTTGCACTAAGCTTTGTTCTAATGCTGGTCCTAATTTTCATTATATATACACTATATATATCTGGCTGTGGCTTGCGGAATGTCACAAGTCGTAACTTTCAAAACTTCATCAGTCACGGTACCTGGCAGTCGATTTGGCAGTTGTGTCAGCCATATTGTCGGCTGTAGACTTCATCAGTGAGGCCTGTCAAATGCAAGCTGGGAGTCTGATTGGAAGTTGAACCCTCGGCAAATGCACGCTGGGCTTTGAGATGATATTTTTAAGCTGCAGGTGAATCATGGAGCGAAACAACAAATCATCTGTGTACTACTGCAATAAATAAGTGGATGGAAAGTCGATAGATATGATGTAATATAAATTATAATTGATCTTTTCATCCAACAGGGTTTTCCATCGTGCTCATATGTATTCCAGCCCCAGCTGTCAATAAGGCGAGCGGTTGATGTTCCGATTCTACAGCAGGGGGCACTCCTCCAACAAACCGCCACACCTGAGAAACCATCACGCCTTAAGTAAGTGTCGGCCGCTGGGTGATTTTTAAGTTCTATTTAGTCTTGATCGGTTATATCTTTTATCTAAGTTTTTCTGTCTGTTTTCAGGTTGTACGTTCCAGAGTTTGTCTCCTCTCTCTCGGTTTCCGTGGCCGACTGTTCGTCATCGTTGAGTGGCAGTGACGACGGAGACTGTCCGCTGATTCTTAAACTTGGCTCATCAGCTCCTCTGCAGCACAGCCAAGTCACAGTCAACTGCTCGGGGACCGGCTGCTCCGCTGTGCTCCTTCACCCTCCATGGGACACATGGCTGCGAGTTGTTGTCGAGAGCAACCAGGACAACCGCACCGTAAATTTTAGCATTGCCTCCTACAGCACAGGTGACTCTAGGAGATTTTATTTGCGTATAGAACTTTAGAAAATCTCACATTTTGTTTCCCTGAATTCACAGATTGTTTTTTTTTTTTTAGTGGAATGTAAACCAGACAGTGTCGGCCTTAACCCAGACGATGACCTCAGTACGTTTCAGGGTAACATCACCAACACTAACTCCACGTCAGAGGGAAACAGCACGGGGAACACACCCGAGGTCACTTCCAAAAGTGAATCAGCAGCATCCGTGTCTGTGCCAGCGCCATCTCCTGGTTGTTTGTGGAACGTCCCCGTCCTGTACGAGGAAGCTGACGTGCTGTCGCTACGATACAGTCCCGTGAAAGGACCTAACGTCAATGTGACCGACACGCACCCCACGCTGTTAAGTTATCCTCTGCCCACGCAGGCCACCGGTGGGACGTTGAACCTGCAGCTTACAATCAACGCTGTGAGTATGTCCGCGTCAGTGCGGAAAAGTCAAGTCAGAAAATTGTCGGTTTTATTGAAGCAGTATTTGATTGGCATAATTGTGTGTGTGTGTGTTGTTTGCAGACAAATGTGACTCTAGGGACCAGTCACAGTGTGGTGGCCTGTTTCTCTCAAGGGGCTCCAGTTCTTCACCTCAACCAGTCCTGTTTCACAGGTATCACAGAGAACACGTCTGGTGATTTGAACCGTTGTAATTTAGGATATAATGAACTTGTCTGGTGAACTTCTACAGCCACAAACACGAGGCTTTTACATTAGGGGACTGTTTGTTATCGTATTAAAGACCCTCCTTGTGTCTTTTGTGCAGATTTCTCTGCAGGTTACAGACTTGTTGTAAATGCCAGTGTTCCTAAAGCTGTGCTCAGGCTGCCGTTTCCTCAGTCTGCCACCTGGTACCTCACCCTGCAGCTTATCTACAACAGGTAACAGACTTTGAAATACATTTTATCTTTTGTTTTATCACCTAAAATTAAAATTTTTGTGCAATATTAATAGTTTTTTTTTGTGACATTTATGTAGTCTTAAAATAGCTTGAATGTACCGTTAAAAGCAGACAAATTAAGCCAAGCATAAAATCTGCAGCCCCACAGTGTCACCTAGTTAAAAGCAGACAAATTAAGCCAAGATAAGTGAGTCAAGCCAAGCACAAAATCTGCAGCCCCACAGTGTCACCTAGTGGTGCAGTTTGGTACAACAACAACAAACAAAAAAAAATGTAAAAATTTTTTTTCTAAATGTTTTTTTTTTTTTTATATATATGCAGCAGTGAAAGTCGGGGGCCAACCGTGGTACAGGTCGCCCCAGAGGTGTCTGTCAGTGCCTGCGTGGACGACTGTGGGACATATGGAGAATGCAGACTCCTGAGATCCTACAGTTACCTGTACAGCGCTTGTGTCTGCAAAGCAGGTACCACACACAGAAACACATACTACATACCATATAGTCCAGCCATGGGCAAACTAAGGCCCGGGGGCCGGATGTGGCCCGTTCAGCTTTTAAATCCGGCCCGCCAAACCTTTCCAAATTCTATAATTTATATATATTATCATTATACTTCTGCCTTTTCCCTGCAATACCCATGTTTCCCCAATAGATGGCGTCGAAAATGACAAAAGCAATTTAGCATTTTAGCCTTTATGCATGAGTTTAACATGTTTATCCATCTATCTGCTCCTGACCCGACCCCCCTGTTCAATTTTAGGACAGTTGTGGCCCGCGGGTCTTTGGTGTGAAACTTAAATAATTGTTAATGTATGTGTGCGCAGGCTGGGATGGCTGGGGCTGCACCGATGGCTCCAAGGCTCAGTCGTACCTCCACCAGGTGACGGCAACTCTGCTGCTGACCCTGAGTAACCTCTTCTTCCTGCCCGTCATCGTGGTGGCCATCAAACGCTACTACTTCACCGAAGCATCTGTCTACCTCTTCACCATGTTCTTCTCTACGGTAACGTTGGCTAGTAAAGCATTAATTTTTTTTTTTTTTTTTTTTACTGACTTGCAGAGTTGACTGACCCTGCTTCTGTTTCTTTGTCCCTCTCTATCCGTTAGTTCTACCATGCGTGTGACCAGCCCGGGGTGGCCGTGGCCTGTATAATGGACTACGACACTCTGCAGTACTGTGACTTTCTGGGGTCAGTCTGCTGTATCTGGGTCACCATCCTGTGCATGGCTCGCATCAGAGACCTTTTCAAATATGTAAGACCACAAAGAAGGATGTATCTAAAAATCCCCGAACTTCAGCTGTATTTTCTCAGCATTACATCTATATGTGCGTAGTCTTTGTTCATGCTGGGAACTCTGCTGATTGCCATGTCGATGCAACTGGACCGCAAAGGCCTGTGGAACCTGCTTGGCCCTGTTCTTTGTGCACTCGTGATTATGGTCACTGCATGGGTAAGACGTCCATTAAAACGTACATTAGCTGTCATTACTTTAACATTTGATAAATAATTTGTTGTTTTGACACCCACAGGTGTATCGAGGGCTACGTAGAAATCAGTGTTACCCGCCCGGTTGGCGGCGCTGGGTTTTCTTCCTGCTCCCTGGAATCACGTGTGCTCTGATAGGGATTTGTTTGTACGTTTTCGGCGGAACAGAGAAAAACTACTACTACACTCACTCACTGTGGCACATCTTGATGGCCAGCTGTGTGGTGTTCCTGCTGCCTCCGAAGGAGAAGAACAGGGAGGTTCTGGGCTGGAGCAGAGGCTGGGACTGGAACTGGAACTGGAACTGGAGGTGGGCTTTGAGTTGGAAACCCCGGGTTTGTGGATACACGCTTTGCGAGAATGGTAAGGATGAACTTTACACCGTCACATAGTGGATTTGGAGATGGTGAGTCGTGTTCTTCCAGCCTGTGAGTGTCTTCCGATGAGTTTGAACTTACTGTGTGATCTGACTTACACCAGCTAATGTACAAAAACCCAACCCTTCAGGTGAGAGACCACACGACCCATGACCTCAAGGCTAGGGAATAAATCTTAAACATATACAGTATAGCACGGCAGGACGTCACAAAGAGTCCGTGGAGGGAAGTGGACTATATATATGTGTGTATATATGTATATATGTGTGTATATATGTATATGTATATATGTATTTGTATATATATATGTATATGTATATATATGTATGTGTATATATATATATAAATATATATATATATATATATATAGTGAACAAGCACTTTGTAAAAATCTCTTTATAGTATATCACTGTGTTTTCTAATCAAAACTTCTATTCAAAGCCTGGATTTAAAAATGTCGTTGTCTCGTAGCTGCCTGTATTTCTATAAATCCAACAGGCAGAGTAAAAATTCAATAATCGGAAGTTAAGTGTTCGGACATTTTTCTAGCATGAACTGGCTCACTTTAATTTGCCTTTCCAACATTTATGCTATCCCCTCGTGCTAACACCCGCGTGACCAAGTGAAATTTAACATATTTATCAACAAATGTGTATGCAATTTTCTCTGAATACAGTTAAATTCTTAGAAACTACATATTTATTCGCTCTCAGTATTCTTGCCCTGGTTATAACTGTACATGTGTAATTTTTCTTTTTTTTTTTTATTTCTCCTCACTGCTGTAATACAAATCCGGGGTCTTTAAATGTCATAAATGAAACGAGGTCAGTCACTTTTACACTTTGCACTCAAATCAAATCAAAAGACATAGTTTCGTTTATTCTTCCACTCTTTTAGGAAAATGATCTGTGTAATGTACGTGTCATAGAACCATATTGTCTGCACTGCATGTATGAACGGGCGTCTAATGAATGTATATGGAGACAAGTGTGCCTCTGTTGTCACTGTTATGAACAGTACGGATATAATCGTTCCTTATTTATTTCCAGGTCGTTGATGGTGTTTGATCAATTTCCTTGTGATTATTTATAATCATTTCTGCACTCTGCCTCTTTTTTGCCACCTGTTTGTTTGCAGTTTGACTTGTAAAATTTGAATGTGACCTTTTTTTTTCCTCAAGAATAACCTTTAAAAAAATAACAATTTGTTTTATTTGTCTGTTCATTTTTATAGTTTAGAAGGGGGGGATTCGTTTGTATTTTCTCTGAGGGAGACATTCAGAGATGCAGGAGGACGATCGGTCTACGACAGCTCACACACACACACATCTATTCACTTAGGCTAGATTGAGAAATGGAGGGAAAGCAGATTATCCTAATCCTCAGAAATCTGGAAAATGCCGGTTTTGAAAAAAAAAACACACAGTCCTTCGAATCTTATTTTCATCCGACTTGTTTACTCATCGCCTACTTTGCCCAAGTCCTGGGAAAGCACTTGAGTGCATTTGTATTGCGTTGTTAGGGTTTGATGGGAGGTGGTTAAGTGCAAATGTAGTCATATCCATTAGAGGGACCAGGTTGGACCAAAACGAAGTACAAAAAAAATCAATATATCAGAGACTGCTATGCTACTGCCATTACAATCATAGCCTTAATACCTATAAATAACAATAAGTCTGTCCTTTTTTTTTTTGTTTGTTTTCATGCAAAAAAAGTACAGTAGAGAAATTGTCATTTTTAATGTGTTAAAGTGTTTGTGTAAATACAGTAGAGAAATTGCCATTTTTAATGTGTTAAAGTGTTTGTGTATTTTTTTTTTTCTCAGAATTCATCAAGCGGGCAACTTTCGTCCCGGTTTCATCGGTGTCAAACTCATTTGAATTCACTGGCTGCATACAACCCAAATTAGATGTCGAGTGGGCCGGACCAGTGCAACCATAACCTAATTATCTATAAACAAGAGTAAGTCCATGTTTTTCCTCCTTTGTTTTCATGCAAAAAAGTACATTAGATATTATTAATATTACTATCTATTCATATTTAATGAAATATTATTTTTCAAACATATCCTGAACGTGAATCATTTGTATCATTTCACTGTAATACTATACATAACTATCCTCTATAAATACCTAAGAGCCGCTTGTGACGACTTTACTGTTTATCAATAGCAATAAAGTCAGAGAGGAAGATATGTTTTTTTTTTAATTTTTTTAGGAGTCAATGTATATAATATCAATGAACTAGAAGGGTTGATACTGTATGGGATGGACACTAGACACAGGGTGAGTTTGCAGTACTAACCTTAGATCTAAAAGCTGTTCTCTGTTCTCTGACAACAATGCCGAGAAGTGCTGTGTCTGGGAGGAAGCTCTGTATGGATATTCTAGACCGAGGTGAATGCTACAGCTTTACCGCAGTTGAGACGTAATGTGAAAAAAAAAACCCGAGGACGATCAGGCCTGGAAGCCGGCGGCGGCGTTGCTACTCGCCTGCCCCGCTCCCTGTGCTCGCCCTCTGTCCTCCAAAACCTGAACAGAGGCCTGAGCAGGGGATGGGCTGGCGTGACGCTGGCGTCTCAATGAAGGGAAACACGCTGAGAGGGAAGGAAAAAAAAAAAATAAAGTTAGAGGACGAATTGTTTACAATATACAGTATATATAACGCGGTACCTTTTCTTAGTCTCCTGTGGGACGATAGCTTTCACCAACATGTTCTTGTATAAGTCGGACTTCAGATATCGCGGGTATGAGTCCTGGAAAATGCACACACACACACACAAACACTTGTACGTTTCTTCTACCGTTTCAACACACAATTCCTAATCTACTGTACCAAGCTTCCAACTCGAGGCCCGCGGGCCAAATGCGGCCCACCAAATTGACATGCTCGTTATTTTCACACCGACAGCCGCTAGAGGGCACTCTAGGCTTGTGTACCAGTATCTGCTACTCCTGTACCACTGAAAATTGACATGTTTGTCATTTTTACACTGACAGCCACTAGAGGGCAATCTAGGCTTGTTGTTTTTTTTATTAAGTTGTACACTGTGAAAAGTACGTTTATTTGCTAATATTTATTTCTATTTAAATTTTTGATCAGTCTGGCCCGCTTGATGAATTTAGAAAAAATATATACAAATATATGGATATTTTTTATAAAATGATATTTCATTAAATATGAATGAATAAAACTAAATGTGTAATATACTTGTACTTTGCATGAAAACGAAGGAGAAAAAACATGGACTTGTTATTTATAGTATTTGTGTTATGACTGTACTGTATGACTGTAATATATAATGTTCATCTTATATATGTATATATTTAGCATTTTGTGAATAGCCGTGTGAATAGTAGCTCCCAAGTCAAAAACAGTGGGACACCTTTTTCATGAGGAAGTAAATGTGCGTCTGTGCGTCATCCATAACAAAACGATGCGGGTGTTTGATCCCAGCCAGGGTAATGTCCATGGTCTTACTGTCAATGTTCACCCAACGAGCTGCTCCAGGTGCCAGGAATGTTCTGTACGAAACAGAAAGAGGGGAGAAAAAAAAATGGATCGTCTGATTTTTGATCTAAAGGTCTGACTTCCGCCCATACACTCACTTGTAGATTTCTTCCACTTTCTCCACTATCTTTGAACTTTCTCCGTGTCTGATGTTCTCACAGGCCTGCCAGAAACACAGATTCTCCGCTGAGGGGAAAGCAGAGAAGCAGAGGGTGAGGTGATGGAAACAGATGCAGGAAAACAAGAAGACCGAAGAGACCTTTTTATAGCACGGACAGCCTCCATGGAAAATCACAGCCTCCAGAAGCTTCTTGTATAATGACGCCAAGGTGTGTCGTGAATCCTTATACCTTTCTGTTTTATGCTGCAAATATCTAGGGCAGGCGTGGGCGAACTTTTGACTCGTGGACCACAATTGTCCTAAAATTTGAACAAGGGGACCGGGTCAGGAGCGTAAGTCATAAGCAGGTGTGGGCGAACTTTTGACTCATGGGCCACAATTGTCCTAAAATTTGAACAGGGGGGACCGGGTCAGGAGCGTAAGTCATACATAAAGGCTAAAATGCTAAATATTTATCAATAATAAATATCATTTCCACGCCATCTATTGGGGAAACGTGTTTTAATAAATGTATCATTTTCAACGCCATCTATTGGGGAAACGTGGGTATTGCAGGGAAAAGATAGAAGTATTATAATAATATAAATAAATTATATAATTTGGAAAATTTTGGCGGGCCGGATTATAAAGATTAACGGGCCGCATCCGGCCCCCGGACCTTAGTTTGCCCATGCCTGATCTAGAGTCGACATCTCCATGTATTATTCCAGGGGTGTCAAATTAATTTTCAACATCAGCAGTACGGTTGTAAATGGAAGACTGTATAGATCAGGGGTCCCCAATCCCTGGTCCGCGGACCAGTACCGGTCCAAAGGTAATTTGGTCCCGGGCTGCAGTGGGAAAAAATACTTTACATTTTTACTAATTTACTTCAGTCAAAGAAAATCCAGACATATCCATTAATAGTTTCAGGCTCCTGCGGGCCACACAAAACAGCTTGGCGGGCCACATTTGGTCCCCGGGCCTTGAGTTTGACACGTGTATTATACCATAATAAATGTTGTTCTATTAGATTAAAACATCAGTCTCCTCTTCCTCACCACTGAACTCTTTCTCCAGGTAGGTCATGAACTCCCTTCTCCCCATGACGTCGTTGAGAAGCTCCCGGAAGCTGAAGCTCCAGCGCTCCACCCGGAGACGCGTCGGGGTGAGAACTCTGTTCACACGCACACAAACATGTACGAGTCACTCATTTTTTTGGATTTATCTACTTTTACTACTCCATATTAAAAACAAAACTTCGATTTGGATTTTTTTTTTTTTTGAAATTGTAAAATCCTGCGATGGTTTGCGTCTCACATGTCTGCATTCATGGTCCAGTGTGACGGGTCGTCCGAGATCCAGGGGTTACTGGGAAGGCAGCCTTGCATAATGGGATCGTGGTCCTGGTACTGCTCGCTGTATTTCACGAAACTGCGAACGCGCGCGCACACACAGGAACGCACGCAGTATTATTGTATTAGCGTCGTGCAGATCATAGCAGACTTAATGGCCTCTAATACTTTATATGCCTTAGGAAGAATCCATTAATGGCTCTTACAGTGAAGGCACTAAGCCCTGGTGTGTGTGTGTGTGTGTGTAAAGCTTAGGCTGCCTCACATTCATTAGACCTTATGGATATGTGCTGATGTTGGAGACAGTTTAGATAACAGCACTCATCGTCATGCTGACACTCACCCCTCCAAGCAGATGGAAGACTTTACACGGTTTCTTCCCAGCGCTCTTCTGCAATATTCAATCTGTAAACCAAAAAACAAAAACGCGCACACATTTGCTCAGAAATTAGCCGTAACACACACTTTGTGATATTTTGTCAATGTTGTTTACCTCTCTTTTGAAATAGTCACTGTTCTAGTTCTGTAAAAAAAAAAAAAAAATTAAAACGATGTTAAAAGACAATTTAACACATTCATATGGAAGTTGAATGATAATCAGTAAAATTACAATTTTTATAACTTGAAAAAAAGGAGTAACGGTAACTACGAGTTAGCAAACAGAGTGAATGTAGTTTTTCATTTAAAGGTAGTTCAACAAAAACAAAATTTTGCAAAACTTGCTAAAGTTAGCCAAGGAAATAGTTTGACAAAAAAAACCACAAGCTAGGCTTACGAAAATCAGGTAGACGTGAGGGTGAAAATTACTGCTATAATAAGCCAAAAGAAAACATAACAAAAAATAATAGGCAATAAGTAAACGCATACTGTGTGTAGCAATAGCATCTCATAATTAGCAAAGAGGCTCAAGAGGAGCAAAATCTTCTAAACTTAGCTAATAGCTAATGCACACACAAGTAAATATATATATATATAGCCAAACTATACAGCTTTCCCATGGTGTGTTCAATACTTTTTTCCTGTGTTATTGCACTTAATTCCACATAATCACTATTTATGGATTTGAATGTTGTGATTTCTTTTTATGTGTGGATTATTTAAGTTAATACCAGTGTCTGGAAGAAATGTCACATGAATTGCATCTTTGGAAATAAATGTAATGACAAAAAAGTTCATGCGTTCAATACTTATTTCCCCCATTGTATATATATATATATATATGGTATACAGAGATTGGAAACTTACTTGGAAAAAAATATCCCAGTAGAAAAAGGGAAGGCGGTTAAACGACAAAAACAGACATTAGGGAATTGGGAGATGTATATTTCACAGATCCAAACAGTCACCACATACTACCACGTATTTAAAAGCCAGTAAGGATTTGTGATGATGTCACTGACCAGTGTAACTCGAAAACTGAAGTTATTTGGTTTCTCCAGACCCATGTCCAAGACGTTATGAGCTCCAGGCTGAAAAGCGTATTCAAAGATATACAATTTAACAAATACATTTGGAAACAAAAAAAAACACTAATATTGAGGGGACACTTTATCCTTAACGTGTGTCTTAGGGTGAATGTATTTTGAGGTCCAAGACTTAGTTTGTAGTAAGTATTACAATTAGGGCTAGATTGGAGTTAAAGTAAGGTTTATGATGAGGCATATATTTGCAACGGTTCAGGTTAGCGCAGGCGTGGGCCGCAGCTGTCCTAAAATTGAACAGGGACGCCGGGTCAGGAGCAGAGAGATGGAGGGTTCATGCGAACTAAGATAAACGACGTGTAAAAGTAACGTGTAAAGGCTAAAATAATTGTATCATTTTCTACGCCATCTATTGGGGAAACATGGGCATTGCAGGAAAAAGGCAGACGTCTAATGACAATATAAATAAATTATAGAATTTGGAGAAGTTCGGCGGGTCGGATTCAAAAACTGAATGGGCCGCATTCGGCCGCCGGGCCTTAGTTTGCCCATGCCTGGTCTATATGAAGTGCTCACAAAACACAAAAGCCAATGTGTGTGCGTGAGAGAGCGAGGGTGGGTTGTGTGCGTTTAAGTGAGCGCTCATCCATGAGCCTGAGCGTTCGCTCCAGTAGCTCTGACTTTTATTCCCAGGTTTCTTTCTCTTTCTCCACGAGTTTGTCCCTAATTCATAAGAGCAAGGGATGATGAAGTCTTCAATTTCTGCCCCACACTGCCCCCTCCCACCCCCCAAACAAATCCCTACACTTCAAAAGCCATATACAGAGACCCTGTTTTTTTTTTGCTGTTTGATGCACAAATGTAGGTCTTGTAGGTAAAAACCTGAAGAAGAAAGCAATGATTTTCATGCTTCCGAGCACCACCGTCATCAGCGCTGATGCTTTTACCAGATGGGTTAAATATTTCATGTAGGAGGCAGAAGCAACTGCGGCTAAAGATTGAAAGGAACCTCTGACTGCTTCCGACGCTGTGATGTAGTACTCGATCCTACAGTACAGATTATACAGAGCGCTAATGTTGGCAACATTAGCGAAAAGCACATAATGCGCAAACAAAGAATTCATTCTCCACATTTTCTATAGCCCTAGTTTGAATTGTATGTTCAATAATACAGTCCATGTATATGTTACTTTATGTAGGAATACATTTCCTACAGACTTTAAATATCTACCTAGCTTTTACCGACACTCCAGAGCTTTGCGACTTAAAAAAAAAAACCCAGACAAAGTCAACTTTGCATAATGTGTCCCCTTTAAGGTTGAGTAGAGAAGTCCGTAGTTGGTCTAATTCAGAGACTTGTAAATATATATCGATATCCGATATGCCGTTATTGTCCAAACATTTAATTTCCGATTCCGATATTTACCGATACCGATGTATGCAGCCGTTTGCCCCCTAAAAAACTGAGGTAAACGTCTCAGGAC